TTACGAACATCAACAGAACTACTCTTGAGGATATTGTAGAGAGTTACGCATCAAGGTCGCTACGCACAATTGGTATGGTCTACCGAGATTATGATCAGTGGCCCCCTCGCGGCTCCCCTACACAAGAGGACGATCGCAGCATGGCTGTTTTCGAACCAATTTTCAAAGATATGGTCTTCCTAGGTGTAGTGGGTATTCAAGATCCTCTACGCCCGGGTGTTACGGAGTCTGTCATTCAGTGTCAAAAGGCTGGAGTGTTTGTTAGGATGGTTACCGGCGATAATTTAACAACAGCTAAAGCTATAGCTCAAGAGTGTGGCATCTTTACGGCCGGCGGAGTTGCAATGGAGGGCCCGAGATTCCGGAAACTTAGTTCCCAGCAAATGAGCCAGCTCATCCCAAGATTGCAAGTCCTCGCACGATCTAGCCCAGAAGATAAAAAGATATTGGTTTCTCAACTGAAAAAGCTAGGGGAGACCGTTGCTGTCACTGGCGATGGTACTAACGATGCTCCAGCCCTGAAAGCAGCCGATGTTGGTTTCTCCATGGGTATTGCTGGCACCGAAGTTGCCAAGGAGGCTTCGGCTATTATTCTCATGGACGACAATTTCACATCTATTGTGAAGGCCATATCTTGGGGAAGAACCGTTAATGATGCTGTGAAGAAATTTTTACAGGTAAACATTTCTTTCCTGTTCTTTCAAAACCTACCTAGTTGGTCTTTCTAATGTTTGGTTTCCCTTAGTTTCAAATCACGGTCAACATCACTGCTGTTATCGTCACCTTCGTGTCGGCCGTAGCCGATGAGGATGAGGAATCGGTACTTACAGCTGTTCAGCTGCTATGGGTCAATCTCATCATGGACTCATTCGCTGCCTTGGCTCTAGGTAACCCACCTGCATGATTTACAATTTCAAAGATGATGAAACTTTTCATCGCTAACTCTTACTTCAGCAACCGATCCCCCAACCGAAACCATACTAGACCGGAAGCCTGAACCCAAATCTGCCCCATTAATCACGTTGACCATGTGGAAAATGATAATAGGACAATCGATCTACCAGCTTGTCGTCATATTCATTCTCAATTTCGCAGGAGAAAATATTCTTAACTACGACTTCAATGGGGGTAATCGGGAAAATGAAAGGGCCCGCTTTAAAGCCCTTATTTTCAACACCTTCGTTTTTATGCAGATTTTCAATCAATACAAGTAAGGATGCCGCCACAGCAACGCTTCGAGCTAATATGGGATGCTAATACTATTCTGATCCGTTTTATAGTTCCCGACGTATTGACAATGGCTTCAATATATTCGAAGGATTACTCCGCAATCGATGGTTCATCGGCATCCAGTTTATTATCGTCGCCGGTCAGGTCCTTATCATCTTCGTTGGTGGTGAAGCGTTTCATACGAAACCTCTAAATGGTGTCGAGTGGGGCGTATCTATCATCCTAGGCCTCTTGTCCATGCCGATGGCTGTGATTATTCGGTTGATACCAGACGAGTTCATTCAAAAATTAATCCCTGAAGTCTGGACTCGCAAGAAGACGGGTCCACAAGTTTTCGTCTCCGACGAGGATCGCTTCGAGTGGAACCCTGCTCTACAGGAAATCAAAGATCAGCTGGCATTCCTCAAGACTGTCCGTGGTGGACGCCTCAATCACTTGAAGCACAAACTGAAACATCCGGAGATTTTGATCCCAAGATCCAGGAGTGGCTCGAGATCCCGAGATAGCTCTATCCCACAGACACCTGTCGACGGCGCGCAAGACGTTACATCGCCGCCCCCAGGAACTCCGGAATCACGCTCTCGCAACAGCCGGTCACGATCCAACTCAAATTTGAGACCGGCAGCGGTGATGGCAGGCGTAGTTGCTGGTAGTATTGGAGGTTGGTCGCCTGTGGGACGAGGCGTAGGAGAAGCAGATTCGCTCAAATTTTCACGGTCCAGTCGACACTCGGGTCTCGGAGACCAGAAGGGAATTGAAGTCCATCCCGATACACGAGACGACGACCCCGTCGTCAGCGACTACCCGTACTCCACTCACGTTCCTCCAAGCCAGAATCCAGACTTGGCACCAGATTTCCCGCATGGCCCTTCCCACTCGGGCCCTCCAAGTCACGGTCGACGATCCACTTCTAGGCAATCGAGGCAGTCGTCTAACAATAACACCAATAACAGGCCCCCAAGCCCAGCGGCTCCGCCGTCCTAAATATTTCCTTAACTAAGTTTCTACATGCGAACAAATTTGGGTGGTAATAAGGGTGATTTTCGCTAATCTTTGCTGCAGAACTTGTCCTGCTCCTTTGTCCTTTACGTTTTGCCGCGGTCCGTTGCTGCGGGCAAACGTTTCTTTTAATTAATTCTGGGTCGAACCTAGAGTCTTATTCCATTCCGCACTCCCACCTGAAATGCGACTTTTTGTTTGAGTCAGATATGTTCAATACTGAGTAGAATGCGCGTTTGGGTCTATCAAAAATACTTTTGTACTAAAATGAAAAAAAAAAGAAAAGAAAAAAAAAAAAGGAAAAAAAAGGGAAAAAAGCGCAGTACACCATTTGCATAAGCTTGGCGTGTGGTTGGGGCCTGTTTTATTTTCTTCTATTTTTTCCTTTCCTCTTGACTGACTTGTTCCCCTTTCCTTTCCTCCTACCTTTCTTCCGACGGAGGCCACTTTTTTTCCATTTTTCTTTCTCTATCTCAGCTACCCCGGCTATCGTTTTACTTATTTTATATGGTACATTTATCATGCCGCTGTCCCGGCCCAGGCCTTCGTTAGATTATCTTTTACTTTGCTCACTTCCCATTCTCATTTCTCCAGTTTACTTTTTTTGCCTCGCCATCTCGTCGTGGGCATTTCATCTACACACTTCACTTTTGTTTCTGAATGCTTTCATTTTGTTTTTCATGGCCTCCCCTCGATTGCATCCGCCCACTTCCCTATTTTCTTCCCCTTTTCCTGCCAATTATTTCTTTATAATAGTAAAGATCTATTCTCCTCGTTTTCTATTTTCGATTACTGATATTTTCTTCTCTCTTCTCTTGACTTCTATTTGCTTGCCCCTTGGCCAATTTCGCAGAGAGGATAGGGACACCTTTTTAATTCGGAAACCTGTGGATTCTCTCATCCAGCTTGTTTCCCTTTTTCCTTTCGGCGTCTTTGAAATACTACCCTGGTTGCGGATTTTTTTTCTCCCGTCTCCCGTTCTCTCTCTTTTTTTTTTTTTTTTTTTTTTTTTTTTTTTTTTTTTTTTTTTTTTTTTTTTTTTAAATTTTTTTAATTTGTACTCTTATCTTCTAACTATAGACGTTTGGGCGTGTGTTGCCAAATAGGGAACATCATAATATCAGGTTACTTGAGAAATTTCCACACTTACAATTTTTGGCTTGGGGCTATTTGCTATACATTCTGAGAGGAAGGACTCATATATGTCCGTGAATCACTCACTATGTTTGAAAAACCTGATATGATAATGATTGGCTATGCTTGCCTTCGGAATAACTTTGTGTAGTTGAGCATTGGAGCATTTGACTTGGTCTTTTTTTTTTTGCCGTGCGCTAATGTAGACAACAAGCAGACCTGAAGACACCAATTATAGATTTCTCTTATCCATGCTTACTGAGTAAAGTTAAAGCCCTACCTACCGTCAAATCCCAGAATGACATCCCTTCCTTTCCCCCTGGCTTGCATCTCGCCCTGGAGCACTGCGAAAGTAAGCAGCCACAGTCTGGGTTCCCCGACCCAAAAACCCTTAGCAGCCTTGCTCTCATAGGCCTAATTCATAGGCCTAATTCTTTGAAAATGTTAAAGATATGACGAGGAAATTGTTTTTTTTTTTCTTCTTCTTTTTTTTTTTTTTTTTTTTTTTTTTTTTTTTTTTTTTTTTTTTTTTTTTGATTGTCTAGATCGAGATGTGAACATTTTGATTTCATATTCTGTAACTGGGGGAGTGTAATTAAAAGGTTTAGGCTACACTTATGCAGTACGAAATGTGGCAAAGCTCTCCAACATGAGCCTGAACAATTCTCCCGGTCACATTTATCCATTTTTATATCAGTCCACGACGTCAGAGACTAAGTTTACCTACCCCAGCAAACCGATCGAAAGTAAGCAGTAGTTAGTAGCCAGGGTTGATCGAATTGGTGCCTCCCCCCACGGCCTGCCTAACTAACCATGCTGTCTGTCATCTGTCATTCCATGCATGGAATAGAATTTTCACACTCGATCTGTTATTTGAGGATACAACTCTAGTGTTCACACAGGAGGAGCGAGCAAAAAAAAAAAAAAAAAAAAACGTGAACAGGCCGTAGGAGCTGAGCTCTCTCTATCGAATTCCTGATGAGTTTAATTTCCCCAGCTGAAATAGAGTGGACAATTATCAATTCTCATTCCGAGCTGTTGTTTTTGTTGCTGCTGCTGTTGTCGCCGGTGGGTCAAGACTCAAAGGTGCAGTAACTAGTTAACTAGAGCAAATGGCCTGCACAAGCGGAGAAATTCACATTTGCCGTGTGGACCAATTCTTGCATAATTCACCAGACAAAGCTGCCTTGGTTGTTCCTAGTTCCCTCGGGCCGGCGACGCGGGGGTCCGGGGATGGCGCGAATGTCAAATGAACATCGAGCGACAGACGAGGGGGTGATGATGCCTTCAAGGATCAAATCAAGTGGGAGATCTCCAAGCCCGTGAAACAAAAGCTCGTGTGGTGGCTGCAAGACTCACTTTTTTGCCGCAACCTCATTCGTACTATCTATCACCCAATGTTCCCACACAGAGAGCAAGGATGAGCTGGCTTTGTGGATTGCTTCTTATTAAACTACACCGAGTACGGAGTACATAACTAACTACCAAGCGACTCCTCGCCTCTTCTTCTTCTAAATTCCCGACTGTCTCTCTCTGTCTTAGCTTCTGCTGGACAAACATAGGAGCGGAACCGGGCCCTTTCAATCCTCCTCTCCTAGTTGCTGTCTAGCCTTAATCTCTACGTCAATCGAGTCGCCATGTCCTCCATAATAGATTCCTCCGCCATATTCTCTGTGGCCCAAAAACTGCTCGCGACTGCGAAGCCATGGGCCACCATCCCCTTCTTGGGCCCTGCGGTCTATCTGATTACAGTGGCGCTACTCCGCAACAGAAGGATAAAGAAGAACGTAAAGAAATTCAACTACACGACTCGACAGTCGATGGCCCGGATGAGTGATGATGACGCATGGAACATTCTCCTAGACGCTGGCCAGATGGAGTTCCCCTTCACTTATCTTAAGGCGCTGCAATTCGCTTTATTTAGGGTACGTTCGATTTCCTCAACCTTTTATCACGCTCGAATGCCCTCTTCTACACGTCCTATAAAAACCGCTTAACTAACTGGTAAACTTGATATCTACCACGTCTGTGGCATAGACCTATGGAATCCCCACCATCTCCAAAACCCTGGTGCAAACCGGCCAATTTGCCAAACCTGAATTCTCGATGAAACGGTATGCGGATACATCTGTGCTGATTGCAGAGTTCGTGGGCAACCCCCCTTCTTCAGAACGTGGTAAAGCGGCAATCGCCCGCATGAACTACCTCCACCACGGGTATAGAATGTCCGGGAAAATCCTCGATGACGACATGCTCTATACTCTAAGTCTGTTCGCACTAGAGCCAATTCGCTGGATCAACAGGTACGAGTGGCGCCAGGCTTCTGATCTCGAAGTGTGTGCTATTGGCACCTTCTGGAAGAGCGTAGGAGATGCTATGGAAATTAGTTTCGAGAATCTACCATCGTCCAAAACAGGGTTCAAGGATGGTATCCAATTTTGGGAAGAACTCAGAGTGTGGAGCGAGGGTTACGAGGAGAGAGCTATGATTCCCAGTGACTGGAACAAGAAGAATGCCGACCAGACTGTCGCAGTTCTCCTGTGGGATTATCCTGCTTTAATGAGACCTCTGGCTCGGAATATGGTGGTTTATATGATGGATGACCGCCTGCGGGAGGCGATGCTGTAAGCGTCTTCCTTTTATCTTATTTTCTAACCCGCAATAATCCCTACGAACGAACAACTAACTCCCACGCGATATGCAGGTACGAGAAGCCGCATGCCCTATACAAAATTGCCTTTGCTGCAGCTTTCAAGCTTCGAAAATGGTTTCTCCGTTACCTCTCCCTTCCCCGTCCGGAGTTCATGCGGTTCCACCGCATCGCTCCAGGCACCAGTTCAGAAGCTCGTTATTGTTTACGCAACTGGGAAGGAGCACCATTCTACATCGAACCAACCTTCATGAATCGGTGGGGGCTTCGTGCATGGTACACATGGCTTCGGGGGATGCCACTTCCGGGTGACAACCCCGAACATTGCCCGAACGGATATTATCTCCCTGACGTCGGGCCAAAGAAATTCGAGGGCAAGGGGCATGACCAGGTCAAGAAGACAATGGAGCGGTTACATACAGAACGAACCGGCCAGTGTCCATTCCTTTTCAAATAAATAGACTTACCTTGAAATTGCGGTTTGACGTGGAAGTATGAGATACCCTGACCCTTTCTACTTGCCGTGGGATTTTACAAATGAAGGATGCAGGGGAACAAAGATGAGAGGCCGCTAGGCTGGAAAGATTTCTCGTAGATCGACTTATGCGGTTACCAGAACCATTTCCTCCTGAATTACATATGTCTTTTTTTTCTTTCTCTCTCTGGTGGGTCAACTGAACTTCTACACGAACTACGCAGTACATGCAAGACGCTTCCTCAAGGGGTTCGGCGGGAACTTCAACATTATACGCAGCTAGACAAAGATAATATAGCTATCTCTATAACAAATGCCCGCTGTGGAATAATGTCCTGATTGTTTTCTTCCATCTTGATGTTTGTGCAGGTGGGTTTGTGCTAGCTTTAAGGTTTCTCAATTCAGCTCCCGATTAGGCCTAGGGCGATCGGATAAGCTTAAGTTGACCGCACCAGCAACTACCCGGGGCTAGCCGCACACATCCATGTTTAGCCTGTCCCCGCCGCAAGTTCGCGGGTGCGTGATGTCAGCGCTGGTGCAAAATATGCCGCGTAGCTCTTATATACACAGTTACATATGTCATTTGTGATGGAAAATTGGACCGCCTCAAGGGATCCTTGTATGGCCTTATATAATAGCCGCAAAAGCTGCATCTTCCCCTCATCTTCCCACTCCCCCTGTTCTTCGTTGAAGCATGCTCCTGTCAATTGCGCATAGGACATATACCTTCGCAAATCTCGCTCGAAGCGGCGGAAGGATCACATTCCTCAACCACCGCTATACAAAGGGACGAAAACCGCCTATATTCTTACCATATATTACTAGAGGAAACATGGCCACTTTAGCGACCTTCAAGCCGCCCGCGGTGCAAAATGAGCCAACTGTGAGTCCTTCATGCTCTTTAGGATCTTTGTTTGTTCGGATGGAAGGATGCTGAGGGGGGGGAGGTGAACGGCCAATCTTCGGATGCGGATCATGGAAATAACTATCTAACTGCTTGCCCTCCACCGAGGTGGGGAAACCTCCAACGAACAGCTAAACTACGCCAGAGGCTCACCGGAGCGGGAGAAGCTTGCGAGTGCAATTGCTGCGTTCAAGAAACAGGCTCCTTTACAGATTCCCCTTGTTATTAATGGGGAGGACGTACGTAACCTACATTTCTTTCTTTCTTTCTTTTTTTTCTTTTTCTTTTTCTTTTTCTTTTTTTTTTTGCCCATATTTTGCCCTTAAACCACAATCTGCCGTCAGCAGCGCAAACTAGAAATAACAATCGATAAAAGCAATCGAACAACTAATCATTCCCTCTCATTCCTCTTCACAGGTAACAACGGCCTCCGAAGTGCAAACTCAACTCAACCCGTCCGCCTACAAGACCACTCCTGTCGCCAGGTTCCAAGCGGCTGGCCCACAGGAAGTCAACTTGGCCATAGACACAGCGTTAGCTGCGAAGAAGGCTTGGGAGGCATTGCCCTTTGCCGACCGAGCGGCGGTCTTCTTGAAAGCTGCTCATCTCGTGAGTACCAAGTATCGGTATGAGCTGATGGCGGCAACGATGGTGGGCCAGGGGAAGAATGCGTGGCAGGCCGAGATTGATGCTGCGGCTGAGTTGTGTGACTTCTTGAGGTCAGTTTGTATCCTTGGTCGGTCGTTTATAGATTTTATCTCGTTTGGGTTACGGGATGGGATGCTGACATGTGGGTAATTATGAATAGGTTCAATGTCCAGTATGCTGCTGAGATATACACACAGCAGCCGGTCCATAATGCTCCCGGGGTTTGGAAGTCAGTCCTCCTCCTTAACATCTGTTCCCCTTTCAGACCGAATTACTCGAGCAAAGTTGAGTTTCTTTTCCCTAAACAAACAACTAACATCCCCTCTTCCACCACCAAGCCGATTGGAATATCGCCCCCTTGAAGGCTTCGTCTACGCCGTCTCGCCATTCAACTTCACCGCTATCGGAGGCAACCTCCCCGCTGCCCCTGCGCTCATGGGAAACGTAGTGGTCTGGAAACCATCCCCATTCGCCGTCGCAGCAAATTACCTAACCTACAGTATCCTCGTCGAAGCCGGACTCCCGCGCGGGGTCATCCAATTCGTCACCGGCGACGCAGAACAAATCACAAAAACGGTCCTCGACCACCCCCACTTCGCCGCCTTGCATTACACAGGCAGCACAGCAGTCTTCCGCTCTCTCTACGGCAAAATCGCTCAGGGCGTCGCAGACGGCAAATACATCAGCTACCCGCGCATCGTCGGTGAGACAGGCGGGAAGAACTTCCACCTCATCCACCGCAGCGCCGATATCCCCAATGCAGTGAAGAACACCGTGCGCGCCGCCTTTGAGTTCCAGGGCCAGAAATGCAGCGCCTGCTCGCGCGCCTACGTGCCCTCAAGCATCTGGCCTGAATTCCGCGGCCAGCTCGTCGCGGAGACCAAGGCGCTGAAAATCGGGGATCCGGAGGATTTCTCCAACTTCATGGGCCCTGTGATCCATGCGGCGGCATTTAAGAAGCTCTCGTCCGCCATCGATGAGGCGAATAAGGATTCCCGCCTCGAGTTGCTGGCTGGCGGCAGCTATAGCGATGAGACGGGCTACTTCATCCACCCGACCGTCTACGCGACGACCGATGCGACGCATCCGATTCTCAGTACGGAGTACTTCGGCCCCATCTTGGCCGTCCTTGTGTACGATGATGGTGCTGACGGGGCAGGAGGATCAAGCGCGTTTGAATCCATTTGTAAAACCATCGATGCGACTAGCCCGTACGCGCTGACGGGGGCGATATTTGCGCAAGACCGCGCGGCGGTGTCGTATGCGGAAGACGCGCTGCGGAGCGCTGCGGGGAACTTTTATATCAATGTTAAGTGTACGGGGGCTGTGGTGGGCCAGCAGCCGTTCGGGGGCGCGAGGGCGTCCGGTACGAATGACAAGGCGGGGAGTATTGGGTTGTTGAATCGGTTTGTGAGTGTTAGGGCGTTGAAGGAGGAGTTTGAGGGGCTGCAGAAGGTGAAGTATGTTAGTAACGAGTAAGAAGGGGGGTTGGCGATGGGTCGACGGGTAAGACCTGAGGGGCAACTGCCTGTTTCGCCCGTTTCCATTTTCGAATCTGATCTGGCGCATTGTTGGGTGTGGGGGGGGGGGGGGTTATGGTGGAGGGAGGTTATGATTGAAGTTAGTTGGCAACATGTACGTTATCACTAAATAACGTATTCGAATAGGTAAATATTCTAGGTGGTTATGAGAAGAAAATGAGCAGCGATAGTAGAGCAATGATTCTTTCATCTCGCTAAAACAATCCCAATAAATATCACCAATCATCACCTCGACGAAATATCAAGTATATAAATGTATATAACCACCCACCCTCTTTCATACTATCACAGAGAAAATCAAAGCTACCCCCTTAAAAGCAATTCACACACAGCCTTCACACATACTTTTTTACCCTTCAGCTCTGAGGATGTAGTCCTCTTTACTTCACGTAAGGAGGGCAGGGGGTACTAAAGCCCCTTAGCTTTAGCGATTGCCCACAAATCAAGAATCGAACTTCCCAAGCTGAGAGCCATGTAAGACAACAGTGTTGAAAGGACAGAGCCTACTGCGTATACTGCGTATACCAATATACACATGGCCGATTGATTATAATGATTGGAAGTTATCCCCTTAGGGTAATTCTTTCCCCGATCTGTCGATGTTTGTCTGCCTTGACTGGTTCGTTCCTGGCGAGCCAACGTTTTGGGGCGAGGTTCCAGGACACCGCTAGTCCCAAACAGACCACACTAGCGCTGCTATAGGACTAGTAGCAAGCTGGCACAACAACGCTAGGCCGAGTTGGGACGGGACTTGTAAACATCTAGCCGAGCGCGGACTAGCGCGACAACACAACAGCAGCACGGTCCCCCCGGCGCTTCTCAGCCTCTGCTGTTTGTTTCTCCTCGTCCCTTGTTTCTTCTCTTCTTCTTCCTCCTCCTCTTCTTCTTCTTCTCACCGCCCCCAGTTCAACCTCCTCCTCCTCCACCACCACCACCACCACCATCATCACCTTTTTGTGATACCCGTCTCCTTGCTTGCTTTCTGCTCGACTTCATCACTCCTCACTCCTCCATCACTACTCCCACAGCCCACCATGCGTGAAATCGTACGTTTTTGACCCCCATTTTGACGCGTCGTTCGAATGAACCGTTGTCATCTTACCCTTGTCCATGCCCATCGCCCCCCTCCCCCCCCCAACTGCATCCCCCTTTTCTTGATGTCCAATTCTGCATCAAACCACATCCACCTGCCCCCAACAGGCCTTCTTAGAATCACATAACGGTAGAATGTGCGAACTTGACTGCTAACGTGTTTGTTGTTTGATTTTTTGTTTTGTTTTGTTTTTATCTAGGTTCACCTCCAAACCGGCCAATGCGTATGTCGACTCAAACCCATCCCCAAATAACATCCACCCTCCTCTTGGTTTGCGTGATATTGTTACTTGGGAGAGCATCTGTTGTCTAACTGTTGGAGCCTGCTGCTGAAATAGGGTAACCAAATTGGTGCTGCTTTCTGGTATGTCAAAAGTTCCTTGCCCTCCCCGCTGCCATCTCAGATATGAAAAAACACATTGCGTGTTGTTGCTCTGTTTACATATTTTTATACTGACAACTCTCTTCTCCTTATAAATAGGCAAAATATCTCTGGCGAGCATGGCCTCGACGGCGCCGGCTAGTAAGTTTTACAGTCAAGAATACATATATAATTATGAAAAATCTCGATTCCTAACTCGATAAATAGCTACAACGGGTCCTCCGATATCCAGCTTGAACGCATGAACGTCTACTTCAATGAGGTGGGAGAACGCTTCCCACCCTTCGAGAGCAGCTATCAGTCTACTAATAGGAATATCCCCCGTAGGCTACCGAAAAGAAATATGTCCCCCGCGCCGTCCTCGTCGACCTCGAGCCCGGCACCATGGATGCCGTCCGTGCCAGTCCCTTTGGCCAGCTTTTCCGCCCAGACAACTTCGTTTTCGGCCAGTCCGGTGCTGGAAACAACTGGGCCAAGGGTCATTACACCGAGGGTGCTGAGCTGGTCGACCAAGTCATCGACGTCGTCCGCCGTGAGGCTGAAGGCTGTGACTGCCTCCAGGGCTTCCAGATCACTCACTCCCTTGGTGGTGGTACCGGCGCCGGCATGGGTACCTTGCTGATTTCCAAGATCCGGGAGGAATTCCCAGACCGTATGATGGCCACTTTCTCGGTCGTTCCTTCGCCAAAGGTTTCCGACACCGTTGTCGAGCCTTACAATGCCACCCTCTCCATCCATCAGCTCGTTGAGCACTCCGACGAGACCTTCTGTATCGATAACGAGGTATAGTTTCGATATTCATTTTCGTATATCTTTTGCGGCCAATTTTATATTGAGTTACGAATTTTTCTAATTTGGATATTATCACAGGCTCTGTATGATATCTGCATGCGGACTCTCAAACTCTCTGAGCCATCTTACGGTGACCTCAACCATCTCGTGTCCGCCGTCATGTCTGGTGTGACCACCTGCCTGCGATTCCCTGGCCAACTTAACTCTGACCTTCGGAAACTCGCTGTCAACATGGTTCCATTCCCTCGTCTCCATTTCTTCATGGTCGGATTCGCCCCTCTTACTAGCCGTGGAGCATACTCCTTCCGTGCTGTCACCGTCCCTGAATTGACCCAGCAGATGTACGACCCTAAGAACATGATGGCTGCTTCTGACTTCCGTAACGGCCGTTACCTCACCTGCTCTGCTATCTTGTAAGTCTTCTCGAGTCACCTCCCCCACTTATTATTTTCCCCTCTAACCTCTTTTTCTTCCCCTTTTAGCCGTGGTAAGGTTTCCATGAAGGAAGTCGAGGATCAGATGCGCAACGTCCAGAACAAGAACCACACCTACTTCGTCGAGTGGATCCCCAACAACGTGCAGACTGCTCTCTGCTCCATCCCTCCCCGTGGCCTCAAGATGTCCTCTACCTTCGTTGGAAACTCCACCTCCATCCAGGAGCTCTTCAAGCGTGTCGGTGACCAGTTCACTGCTATGTTTAGGCGCAAGGCTTTCTTGCATTGGTACACTGGCGAGGGAATGGATGAGATGGAGTTCACCGAAGCGGAGAGCAACATGAACGATCTCGTTTCTGAGTATCAGCAGTACCAGGATGCTAGCATTTCTGAGGGAGAGGATGAGTAGTAAGTTCTTTTCCCCAACGCTCCATTTTTCTTTCTCTGGGACTTGATCACTATATCATATCTCTATTCACCAATTTGACTAACCAATCTTCTTTCAAACAGCGTTGAGGAAGAGATCCTTGAGGGCGAGGAGTAGAGTTTTCGAGGCAAATAAGCGTATAGTGAAGCGAAGAGCCTAAAGAGGCGTGATTTTTGAGCCTACTTAATCAATTACTTCTATCTTTTAAGGTTTTGTTGTGTTTTTTTTCCTTTTCGTTCATTCTATTAATTTATATTCTGCTCTTCTTTTTTCGGTAGCGATGAATCGAATTTTTTTCCAAGACCATGGACCAAGATAAATACTACGTTCTTTGTGTTAGGTATTCATGAAAACGAGAGAAACCTGACACTTGGTGATGATGCATTGTTTTATGTGAAGAGTAAACTTTGTTCTATGTTGCTGAATGGGAGCAGAGGAGGTGAGACGTAGGAGAGTGAGGTTTTGAGGTTTGAATTGAATGTCTATGCAGCAAACCTTTCGGTTTTTCAAGCTCCGTACACTTTGCTTTTTCTTTTAATGTTTACATTCAGTCTTCTTTTTTTTTTTTTTCTAAGGATGGCTAGCGGTACGGCACCAGAAAAAGAAAATATAAGAGAGAGCCTACAGTAGTATGCTTGTTTGAGCGCGACTGCTGTTCTTTTTTTTTTTTTTTTGGTTGTGTTATCTATCGTACATCTATCTATATGAGAGAGGAGCATGAAAGTCTTCAAAAGATATATATATAAAGAGTGAATTAAAAAAAGAAATTGAATGCTTAGCTTATATCTATCCTCACTCAACATTGGTTATGTCAAATTATATTCCAGCCAGAGAATAAATCCTCTGATCTACAATCCATATCACACAGTGATGGAAAATACTGTTCTTGATGGGTAACTAATCATTTGTTATACATCCTAATCCTTAGTCCCAGTCCTAATTCTAAACCTAGTTAATCTCCCCTGACCCCTTTCAACGGGAACGAAATCAAATGTTAGAATAGGAATGACGAGCGAGCAGTGATAATTACACATAAGATGATGAGGGCGAAAAAATGGGGGAAAAACAAAATACAAAGAAACAAAGTGCTCTCCCTCACCTGGATAAAGGAGAAGGCGAAAAAAAAAAGGGATTCATTCTTCATTCATTCATCTTCAACATTCCCCTTCCCCCTTCTTTCCACATAGACATCCAAACACCAAACCATGTCAACATCCCGAAGGATTCGCAAAGAAAGAGAGAAAAAGAACACATCCCATAACCCGTCCTCGACATATTTCAACGAGGAGCAAGGTACCCATTTCTATTCATTCCGTTCTTACCATCTCCAACCGAAGCGGCCCCCTCGGCTCCCCTCAACCCCCACCCTCTAGCCACGACCCAAATTTATCCAGCCGCTCAGCCTCCTCTTCATCAACCTGTTCACTATCTTCTTCCGCCTCAACATTAGCAAGAGTAGTACCGGCGGCTGCTTGCTTCGAGCTCGATTTCTTGAACCGCTCGCTACCGTCGGCGATGTATGCTACCACCCGTGTGCCGGAGAAGAAGCGGCCATTCATTTTCTGTATATAAAGGTGTAAGCGTTGTTGTTAGATTAAATTTGTTCTGACGGTTTTTTTTTTTTTTTTTTTTTTCCTTGGGTTTGGGTGGGAATTATCCAACCCAACGCACCTGAACGCAGATGTTTGCTGATTCGACATCAGAGAACCGGACGCTCGCCACACCCTCTTCCTCTTTATCATACAATACGACATTCGTGACCTCGCCTAGCTTTGAGCATTCTTGTCGAATGTCTTCCTTGATATCTAGGATTGCAGCTGGGTCCTCCTGTAAGGCATTAGACGCGCTTTGAGTCAATATAGGACGGACGTTAAAAGGGCTTTTATTTTCGTTGTGAGAAGATAAAAACGGAACTGATGCTCGTACCTCGAGTTCTTGCAGAGTAAACATATGCTTCAGAATAACCACCCTATCCCATCGAGATGAACTTGGTGGGACCGTCGATGGTTCATCATCGTCCCAGTCGGCAAGTTTACTATAGAGAGGTAGATACCGAAATGTAAGCGAAACGTGAACGTAAACTTGTGCTTGAATACATTACAAAAAGAGTTTTGTTTAAACAGTGTTAAAGAAAGCATAAAGGATACTACGAACCTATTCAACCGTTGAGTTTTCCTCATGATTTTCCTCTTCTCACTCATATTTGGCTTGGCGGGTGCCTCCTTTTGCGCCTTGAATGAGAAATCTGCCGCCTGCACCTTCATCTTGCCCTGGGGGCCTGTTTCTCCAAATCTAAAATCCGTATCATCAAGCATCTGGATGGCAAGGTTTACAGATTCGGGGCGGAAGTATACAATCAGTGCATCTCCCTTGAACTTCCCTTCGTCGTCAGTATATAATTTTATGCGTGGCCGCCGGCGGTCGATTTCCTCGGCGATGACGCCGCATTTGCTGAATACATCGTTCACTTCTTCCAGTGAGGCATCGAGTGGGATTGACGTAACGTAGACGGCGGTGTTTACGCGAGGTCTTTTGGCTTTGGGCGCCTGAGTCTGTTTGTTGGCCTGGACAAGGGTGGTCGTCATTGTATTAGCTTCCGAGTACATACGATCTATTGTGCGAGAGGAAAGGAAATTGAGCGTTATTAACTGACCTCTTCGCCATTGGTATAATTCTTCCGTTTCAGTCGTCGTTGCTGCTGTTGTTTGAGATCGGCGGGCTCGTGTTCATCTACGCCTTCAACTTTATACGCCTCTCTCTGTTGTTCTAAGAGGGCATCGTCCACCTATTTACTTCGCCCAACAGACCAAAATAAACAAAAACGGTCAAGCAATTAGAATAGTGTCCTGCATCCAACGGGAATGTAGGATGATATTTGATTTTCCTTGACCCCTGATACCGGAGGCGAAAACAAGTAGAGTAGTGTCCGATGGAAGAAAGCTTGGGTATTGTATATTTTTGCGCCCAAGAGGAGACTTTCCCAGGTACACTATCTGTTTGCCTTCTGTGTCCGCCGGCAACTTATTTTTGGCCTTCCCGATGCCGAGATGCAGCCATCATGGGGGATGGTGGAAATAACCAAAGCAACGGCCCTTGTTGCGCCAACCAGTACAGAGAGAGGGGAAGAACAAGAGTTTCATGAACTGCCTACCAAGGGAACCCATCTCTTCAGCGCATCATCATACTCCCATTCTGACCCATCCTCCGCTTCCAAGTGGTATTTTTTATCGAGCTTAGAATAGGAAATCCGGTAATCGTCATCGAATTCGTCGGGGGTTTGCGGGAAGCTCGCTCGAGTGGTGGTGCCTTGTTCTGGAGGAATTGGAGGCGCCTCCATGGTTTTTGGTGGTTTGCTGGGTGGAAATATAGAACTGAAATGGAGAGTTGGTCAGAAGAACCGACGGAGAATTAGATATATATATATATGCAAGTGGTCTGATTGCGAGCCGCTGTATGGAGAGATAGTTTAGCAGAAGAATGGTTGGATAGCAAAAGCAAACTATGAGGAAGCTCCGAGGCGAATGCCGCTTTACCGAAATAAGCTTAGTTCCGTTTACATACTGCGTTACATAAGAGCTGACAACAATCAGCCAAAACTGTAGGATAGTTGAAGGTTGTATTGATAGATCTATCTACAGGAACATAATATAGTGGTGGGTCACGTGATCTAGTGGGATCGCTAACCGCAACGGCCGTAAGGGCCAACACCCCCTCTCAAGATAACAAGAATCACATACAAAAAAAACACCCAAATCATCAAGATAGTCTGTCAAAATTAAATACAAATGTAAAATTAAACATTCTCAACTTTTATATCTGTAAGACCTAGTAAAATCATGAATTGTGCAAATATCACATTATCTAGAGATTTAGTGAGTTCATTCATTATCATCTGAGCAGTGAAAATATACTCTAAATCAATGATTCTCTGATTTAACTATCAATATGAAAAATGAAAACATGTGTCAATGTGCTTACTTCAGATTATAATGACTGTTATCTTTGTAAGATCTATAGCATTCTTATTATCAGTGAGAATCTGTATCAGAGATATAGTGATAAAGTCAAGCTCAATTATAAGATTCTGAATTCATATTATCTCACAGACTGTCTCATTAAGAGTCATATATTCAGTCTTATTAAAACTCAGAGATATACAAGATTGTTTTACTGAATACTATGAAATTAAGCTGTCTGTGAGCTTAAAAATATAGCTGAATGTTAATTTTCTATCATTATTCAAGAGATCAGCTCAATCAGAATTCAAGTAGCTGAAGAGTAGATAGAAATCATCAGAGAAATCAGAGATAACAGAGGAATTAATAGAAACAGTAGAAATGATAGAAATGAAAGAAATGAAAGAAATGAACCTCTTATATAAGCTATATCTGTAGAAAATGCTCAGATTCATGATTTCTTTCAAATAATATATAACATGTAATAGAGTCTTTTAATATTGAGATGTTGAATCAATGTTCTGTTGAGTGAGTAGCAAGGCAGTATGAGTAATATCAGAACATGTTTTAACTGCAAGATATTACAAGTAACTCATATTATATTGATATCACTGAATTATGAAATCAGTCTCTTTCTCAGATATAGAGAAATTATCAATACAGAATTCATTCTTTATTGATATTCTGATAACAGCTGTATTATCAAGATAGAAATCTTTAACAAGATATTTAATATATTGATAATATATTAAATTAATTCTCTTATCTGAATAATTAATCTTTATACTTAAATACTTAATTGACTAATGTAGATTCTTGACTTTCAATTTCTTACTGAGTATACTTACTAGTCAATCAGCATTCTCAGAAGCTTTGAATATGATGTTAAGATTATTAACATAGATTGTTATATAGAGATGATATCTGAATATATAATATCAGAGTGCTGAATTATAAGTATTAACTGTAAATTCAAGATTACTTAACAGAGCTGTTAAGTAATTATATCAGATCTTCACTGCAGAGTTCAGACTGTATAGACTACTCTCAATTATGCATAGACTGACCGTGTGACCGTGTCTGAAATCAGGACCAAACTTTACAGTTATTATATTATCTAAAAGCATTACTTCTGATCATGATTTGTGTTCATCACATTGATTTCAAATCATGTTATTTCAAATATTAAAGGTTTCAGATTCACTTTTCAAATAAAAATCTAGTTCTGAATAAAGAATATGTTTGAATTCTTAGTCACATTTTCATTCTGATCTCATTATTGAGAATGGTATTAAATAAGACTATGAAATCACTTCTCACTTACATAATATCATAACATAGTACTCATTTGTTGAAAATTCAACAGAGAGTGTTATTAAATATTATTACTTTTCTGAACACAGATCATAATTCATATAATTTTAATTATGAAAAAAATATAAAATATAAAAAAAAAACAAAAAACAAAAAATAAAATAAAAATAAGAAAAAATCAGAATGAACAAAAAAAAAAAAAAGAAAAGAAAAAGAAAAAAATAAAAAATAAAAATAAAAAAAATCAAGATCATAGAGCTGTAGCACTTTCAAAATACTCACTTCTCAGAGTCTTTGTAATGTTTATTATCAATTATATATCTCTCACAGTGAGAGTAATACAGCTGTGATGAATTATTGTCTTAACATTATCTAATAAATAATCAGTATATATCTGTATAAATGTGAATATTTAGAAAATATACACTTAAAAAGTGTGATCAGAGTGAACTCTGCTGTCACTTAAATAATATCAAGAGCAGAATACTGAAATTGATAATTTTTCTCATTGATTTCATAGACAAGGCAGGTGAAGATAATCTTAAGAAATATAAGATCTTCTGACTTCTGATAAAAATGAATCTCACAGAGAGACTCTATTTTCATGATATCAGAGACTAAGTGTTATCAAAAAGTATTACTTTCATACAATGCATATACACTTACTGTGATGATTCACTCTCTGTATATATGACTGAGAGTTGTGACTTTCTCACGCTGTACAGCTCTCTCTGAGATGCTGGCATCAGTTTGCAACTCACACAGTCTCTCAGTTCAGCATACACTATGTGTATGCAGCTCTGTATGCTGAGGCTGTGTTAGTCATTATAATCTGATGTAATACTCACTTTTTACAGGCCATGTTTCATTTGAAGAGAGAGAAGAAAGACATGACTATGATTTTATTAAGAGAGAATAAATAATTAGTAATATTAAATATAATTTAATTCTTCTATATTTAAAATTTAATTAGTCTATACTCTTCAATTTGAGAATTTCTAGAAGTGTTTTAATAGTTTTCATATCAGCTTGAATTTAGTGATGAATTGAAGAAGAAGAGAAAAGAGAGAAGAAAGAAATAAGAATAACTTATCTTTATAATATAAAAACAGAGAATCACTGCAATTATTCTCTCTAGCAATAAAGATCTGTTTTCTGCATGTATCTCTGATATAGATTATATAATAACTGTATACAAAGAATATCAACACTGCATGCATTGAATAAAGATAATGTTGCTATGCAATACTGTAGCTGTTTTCATATATCTCTGAAAGCTGTTAATATTTTCTTTGTCTCTTTATATTTGATAAGTCAGTAATATATTTCAATGCACTCTCTCTTTCATCATCATTATTATTATTATCATCATCATAATTATTACTATCATTATCATTATCATTATCACTATTATCACTATTATCATCATCATTATCATTATTATCATTATCATTATTATCATATCATTTCTAGCCGTCTCTTCTGTCTTCACCTCTTTTCAACACTCACTGAAATCAATCATGTCATTTCTCTTCAAATATTCTGCGGTTCTGCGGACTATCAAGGCGTGTGAGCACTGTTATAGATTGAAGAGAGAGAAGAAGAAGATGTTCAAGTAAGAGAAGACTGATTGTAAGATATATTATAATGCCTTGAAGAGGCTCTGTAAGAAAGCAGAATAATAATGATTTTAAGTAACACTTCTGATAGATTTAGACTGAACTAAGTATAGAAATAATGTGAATAACACCATCTGTGAGAGATTGAAGAAGAAGACAGTGAAGAGTCTTATACAGTAGCAGTGAGATCAGAAGAAGTTCTGAAAATGATTTAAGTTCAAGATAAAGAGAGAGAGAGAGAAGAAGAGTATTACTATAAATAAGTGATGACAGAAGAAGATTGAGAGAGTATTAAAGTGAGAGACAAAGAAGTCAAAACTGATAAGTTTTTTATTTATTGAGAGATAATGATTTTTAATAACACTTCTATTCTCTAATTAATTAGCAGGAGCTGATAGAGAAGAAGAGAATTGAGGTCTTGTTCAGATCTTGAATACACTTCATGATTCAGAACATTGAGAAGACAGCTCTGCTCTCTGAGTATGTCAATCTGCTTACTGCTGAGGTGAAACCTGAGACAGCAGATCAGAAAATGCAGGATTTTGAGATGCAGATTAATCTGATTAAGAGAGAGCAGTGAGAACTCTTCTCTGAGAAGACAGTGAAGAGAGATTTTGAAATAGTTATCACCTCAGATGAGAAGGAGAAGAAGAAGAAGAAGAAGAAGAAGAAGAAAAATGAGAAGTGAATTATAAAGAATGATAAGAAGAATAAGAAAGAGAAGAAGTAGATTTTTTTCTTTTTATATTAGTTAGTTATAAGTTTAAGTTTTTAATTATTAATAATTAAAATTGATTTTGAGTTTTCAAAAATTATTGTACAAGTTGTAATCAAGTCAGGAATGATATATATATATATATATATTTAACTATCATGATTCACAAATCACTATAATGTATAAGTATCAACATTTTTTCAACATTGATATTCATAATATTAATATATTTTTAATGATATTATCTGATAATACAATTTGATAACACTCTCTTTCACAATATTAATATATTTCAAGAAATATGATAGAGATTAATTAAGATTATTTATTTACTTTTATACATCAATGATATTCAATCTGAGTTAGTACTAAAATTATAACTAAGCTAAGAAACAAGATTATTTTCTCTTATATTAATTCTTCTTGCACACATCAGTGATCAGTTATTGAAAATAAATTATTATCTTTTGTAAATTATTATCATATCTTCTGAATTCACTTCTTTCACTTCTTTTACTTCTATTGAAGATTCATAAACTCTTTAAGAAATCACTGTGAATCACAAAGTCTACATTGTTTACAATTCAACACAGAATGCTCTCTTTCAATTATAATGAATAACTACTTCATTCTTCATATCTGATTCCAGGCTATGAAATTTATGAAAAACTCAACACAAACACTGAGATGATTTATGAAATAATTATCAACAGATTATATTGCAGATTACTGAAGAGTCATCTCTCTGCTGCAATCACTGTAACTTCATTCAGAAATATTCATCATGAACTGATCATGACTCTGAAGAAATTTTCTAACATCTGAAGTCATCAGAATGCAGATAATAAAAGAAAAATAATCAGAAAATTACTACTGAGCTGATAAGTTACTCTACCAGATAACAATTTTTGATAACACTAACTTTCTAATTTGAAGAAAATCATGTGAAAATGATCATATATCAGTACTCTGATTTCACAACTCTCATCTGATA